TATATATTTCCTTGTTTGTTTGAGCTCTACTTCATCACTATTTGTGCCCATGTTTGAATAGACTGGGATGGTCAGTTGGTTACCTCCCTGGCAGATTGTGGAAGAATAAGGAGAGAGAAGATGCTGAGGTCTTTTTATTAACCTACACATATGATTGTGCTGCCCACTGACCAGCCCTAGCTAGGAACCCTGTTTACTTTGATATTAAGGCCAAACTATAGACCCAAAGAGACATGCAGGCCAGAGGGCTGTAACAATCATTTCACCATAACACTGTGTTCAATATGAACTCAAACACAAAAAACGCATAATGTGTTGTTAGCCATCTTTAGAAATATCAATTGATAGCAATTAATCCAGTTAGAACTGGGGACTGTTTCAGAAAGCTGGATTTCTTGCTTAGCCGAATAACTTAAGTCGGATTTAAGGTAGTCTGGGCTAAGTACAAGTTAACAAAAAGAAAGCCCATTTAAACTGGGGAAAATGTATATATATGTTATTCAATTCAATTTTATTTGTATAGCACAGGTTCAGAACATTATATCGTCTCAAAGCGCTTTACAGCATCCCCACCCAAAGCCCTCAGTGAGTAAGCCATAGGCAACAGTGGCAAGGAAAAACTCCCGAGAAGGAAGAAACCTTGGGAGTGACCAGGCTCAAATTGGGAGCCCATCCTCCAGGGGGCAGCAGAGGAAGTCAAATGAACGAAATGGCAAAGTCCGCATTCAGCGTCCCAATTTTAACACTTGAGTCTTAAAGGGGGGGGGGGCAGGCAGGTGATAGCAGGCAGGTGCTGGAGCTGCTTCCGATGGCAGGATGAACAGTGACACAGCAGCAGGACATACAGGAGAGACGTCACAGGCAGCAGGGTAGGCAGGATATCTAAATATTTTTGCATCTCCAGGCAGCACAGCCCAGGAGGGGCAGGGGAAATAAAATGTGCAGTTAGCCAAAGTAGGGGAGACTAGAGGCAGTGCAGACAGTTAGGTGAGTGCAGTATGTAAGCTCTGACAGATACGGCTATGGCAGCATAAGTAGGAGGGAGGCAGGTGGGAACGCTGGCATGGGGGGTCCCTGTTATCCTGCTAACTAAGAAACCTTACTTTTTGAAACAGGTCCCTGGTATTGCTGAATGGCTTTGACTTGGTGCACTAGAATGCTATTAACTCGTGTGTAACGTCATTCCTATTTTTGAGTTCAGACCTCTGAGGTAAATGGAACACAGCATCAAACACAATGATCTTCACAACATGATTGACAGTGTCCCCGTCTCATTCAGGTATTACTCCTGTGATCACTGCTGTTTTCTATAATTGATTGGTCATAAAATATTACTCAAGGCCATTTTTTAGAATATGTATTTTTGGAAAATACTATCACTTCAGTTGGGTAATGCAAACTTAGATACTGCTGGAACAACAAGTTATTTGCTGAGCAGGGTGTGTGTGGGAGGGGGGGTAAATTTCACTGAGCATGGAGAGGATTCCCCAAGATAAATAATGATGGAGAGTTCTGTGAAATTCTACAATACTCAGAAAATCAGCTTGTGCCCCACTGTGATGCCTACAGATCTCAAACATTCTCTCACCTCCTTAGTTGATTACTTGTATAAGTTCTTTAATTAACCTGCTTTATTTAGAATAACGATGCATAGTTTTCAGTTAATTTGCTTTATCCTTTATATTTTATATGCACTACACATTTTGACATTGTAGGTTTTATATGCAGTGTTTGCCTAATTAATCCTTTTTGTAGTTACTTGGGTTGTGGGGGGTGGTCCTCTCCTTGGTATAAAGGTGCGGCTGAGGGTAGAGGACTCTTAAAAGGGAAAAAACCCTGGAGCTGGATTGAACCATGTGCTTCCATGGCAAGAGGGGGGAGTTGGGGTATAGCTGTGTTTTTTATGTTTAGTTATATGAAGTGTTCATTTGGTTTACCCCTTTTGTGTGTTGATTGGTTTGGCCAAACCACTATATATTTTCCCTGGTGACTCATTACAAGAAGATCAACTTGTTTCAGTTAATATCTTGCTTTGTGATATTAAGTTAGTTTTTTTTAACCTCTTATTTGGGCCCTGTTATTAAGGTCTTGAGTTTTGTCAACTGTCTGTACTTTTGGAGTCCAATAAAGCCCTATTTTCTTTAGTAAAACTCCTGTGTTTGTGTTGCCTTACTGTTTGGTCCCTCACACTCACAGATGTCTTAAACAAATTGAAGCAGTAGAGGACAGGGTCCAGTAGGGCTGAATGATTTTGGGAAAACATCTAACTGTGATTTTTCTGACAGATATTGCGACTGCGATTTCATTTGCGATATTTTTAAAAGTTTAGCTTCAATATTCACTGTGTAACAGATTTAAAACGTGACGCAGCATTACCACATGACAGGAAGAGATCAAAATACAGGGCTTCCTTCCCTATTGGACGGCACTTGTAATGCCGGTTTGTGATTGCAACATGGTTTCTTAAAATATGTGCAAACGTTAAGTCGCAAATTTGTGACTTAGAAAACACTAGTGATATTCGGACCGGTATCAGCACTGACCCAGGCTTATTTGAGGCCATACGTAACCGATCCACGTTCCATACTTACTTAATTAGGTTTTGGCAGCCTCTAAAAACAAATTAAATATGAAATAGGAGCCAAATTTGCATTATCAATCATACGACAGCTCTTTCCCATTTTAGATACGTCTTTTTTTTTTGTGGTATTCAAGCTGAACACTAAATGTTGCCACTTTTTTTGCCACTCAGTGGGTGTGAGCGCAGTGACTTCCGCCTGCTGTGACGTCATACGCATACCCTTCGCAGTACGAAGAGCGTAATAACATCAGATAAGAAGGTGGCGATCTGGAACTTTTTTATGCTTTTAACAGCAACTAGTTCACAGTGATTTGCAATCTTTATAAAAACAAAGTTAAACCCTGGGTCAGACGAGTCGTATAATTCATGTCCTAAATCACAGTCTTTGCGATTTATTAATCGTGTTGTTTGAAATCGCGATTTCGGTTTGAAATCAATAAATCATTCAGTCCTAGCATCCAGGGAATACAAAGAAATGCAGATTTTTGAAGGAAATTAAATTTAATAAATTAATCACTGAAGTCTCAAGAAAATGTAATAAGTTCTGTAATAACTACCTCTTTTGTCTGCTTGTAAAAAGGTGACGACACACAAGGGTTCTGTCTTACCTCTTTGTTTTACCCTCCACAGTGGCGCTCATTTCAGAAACAGTTCTTCTTTTTCCTCTCTTCTTTCTCATTTTTGTGCTGATCCGGACCACTTGAAATATTTCACCAGCGCAGTCTTGCACTGCAAGTGTTTAAATGTAAATATATTAGTGGTGGACATGACTGGTGAGGGGTTGAAATTCGTCTTTTTTTGCAATCACCTTCAGATCGGACCATTTTTTTTTTTTTAACTGGGTACTGTCTTGTTTGCTGCGCTCACTTGATTAACAGCATCTGCCACTTCTTGCCTTCCGCTGCATTTTTTGTTACTGCACGGCAGTGACCACGAACAAAAATGTTCTAGTCTCCATATGACCAACAAGCACCTCGATTTCTGTTTCAGAAAAGTTTCTTGCACTTCCTCTCGGTTGCCATTATAAGTAAATATTTATCGGACTTAACTTGTATGCCTAAATATTCATGATGTGTTTTGCATTGACCATTTATGGTTGGATGTGGGTGTGTAGAGGATGGAAGATGAGGCGGATCCATGTACACATAATTCCAGGTAGAGTGTGATTTGTAAAGCGAACGTTGCTTTTAAGTGTGTACGCACTGTTTTATAAATGAGACCCCAGGAGAGGGCAGCTGTATTGCAACAAACACAAATACAAGCAGTGAAGTAAAACGGGTAAACTTTTATGGACAGTTCTAAAGTTATTAGCCATGGCTTGGGCGGTATTACAGTAATAACGCGTACCACAGTATTTTTAAATCCTTACGACAAAAACTACCGGAACCTCACCAGCTCAGCATTTTTTTGCCAATATTTCAAAATGCCGGAATAACCCTGCTTTTTAAAATACCCGTATACCTTGGTATGTCTAGACAGTACGAAAAAACAGATACGCAGGTACCAACAGCCCTCCTCATACAGCAAGTTAGTAACCTGTATAAATACGTGTGTAAGTTTAATGTTTTTGAAAGTGTCTGTTCTGCATGTTTGCATGTCAAACTCCATATTAGTTTGTACGGGAACCGTGATCGTGACGCACTCTCTTCCACGCCGCCCTGGTAGGTGTTCTGTCATAAAATACTACCTATCGAGACGTGCTATGGAGCCTTTCTGCGCATGTGCAGTTCCACCGTTTTGGGATTAGGGTTAGGTTTCAGGGGTTACGGTTTAAGGTAAGAGTTTTAGGGAGGGGGGGGGTTAGGGCTATCGATTAGCATTACGGTAGCATTTTTCGACAAGGCAGCATATATCGACAGAACACCGGCTCAGGAAAACTGGATACTTTGCACGTTTTCATACCTTGATCTTTACGTTCGGTAAACGTTGCTAGAACGAAAAATTGCAAGCGGGGATTATGCATCATTTAAATTTTATTTTAGACAACCAATGTCACACAAAAATAGTAAAGCGTTAAATAGTACCAGGACAATAATGTTATTGCAACAGTCGCCATGTATAGCACCGAACAGCAAACGTATGCAAGGTAACGGGATATGCAAGTTAAAATCGAACTATTTATTCTAATGACTAATTTATATGCATCATGTAGACTACACCTAAAAAAAACCAGTGTAACCTGATCACAATAGTTCAACAAGAAGGGCGCGGCCAAAATGGCCGCTAAGATGCATGGTTATTAAAAATTCGTTTAAAAGAAAATTAAACAGCTGCTGCGGATATTTGATGCTTGGAAACCACTATAACGCTTAACAAATTTGTTCTTTATTGTTCCAGAAATCACGAAATCATTTACCTAAAAACTCACGTCACTATCAAAATCAAAAGTGATAATAAATTTAAAATTGTCACAAAATACCTGTTATACACCAGTAACAAAAAAAAAACACCAAAGTGGCCAACCTAATAATAGTACAGATCAAATTTTGCTAGAGTATTTTAACCTTTTTTTTCTTTAGACCAATTTTAATAACATGGCAATAAAGGCCACCATTTCGAAATACGCCTCCGTCGCTCTACATGTCGTCGTAGGGAGTTTCTACGATCTTTCGGCAATTTTCGGATAATTTGCTCGCGGATAACACAAACTGCGAATATCAAACGCACGAACGTGAAAGAATTACTGTATAATCTTACCTTGGAATAAAAAAAAATGTCTCGATATTTTTCCAGAATCTTATGCGCGTTTCTTGACAAAATGGCGACACCAACTGCAAATTACTTTCACTTTGCAAACCAAAAGAGTGTCCAGCTGCAGACGCCTGTAGAGTGGAGCTCCACCCCCAGAAGCTGTCCCATACGGACCCGGACCGACAGCCAAAACATTTAGTTATTATTTAAAACCTGACGGGGCGCTTTTATTTTAACCGGCACAGCGTTTGTAGTCTTTTCGGTAGAGGTTTAGCGGTAGAACCGCCGTTTCCCACGCCAAACGTCAAACGCCTTTGACCGCCAAGCAAGACGTATAGTTCGGCGTATGCAGCCCTTTGTCTGCGCTTATGTGCCTTTCGTGTTAATAGCAGCAGCGAAGCTAACATCCGCAAACAAAAAGCGTAATGTTCCTAACAGAGTGGCTGCGCTCTCCTGAAATCGTAAAGCTGAAAAGTTTTCATATACAATATATATTATATAACACGTTGGATAAATAGACGTAGTTTATTGTTGATTTCATGTTCGTTGAAGTTTCTGCATTTTAACATATGTATAAAGTAATGTTATCTGTTATATAAATATACTCATGTGAAACAAAAAATGTACGTTTTCAGGGTTGCCAAATCTCAAGCATCTGGCATGACACGCTTTCAGACTCATGCTGGAAATCTTACGGCAAATCTATATTATTCCAATATAAAACCTAAAATTAACTACGTTAAAGGTGTATTTACACGGTTAAATACAAAAGCAGACTATTTACAAGGTAAGAACTGTTACATGTGTGCAGACATCTCGAATTGAAAATCTCACTCCAGCCAGCTGGCCGAAGTTTTATGTGACGTGACAATAAATAATGTCAAAACTTTTTGAATTGTACTGAATTAATTTGATTGACAGTCAGGTACTGATTACATACAATGTTGATGCAACTAATAGGCTACTTAAATATATATCACACTATTAAATAGTTAGACATTATGATCTTCCGGACCTTTGCTTCAAGAATTTTTCTCTAACTGGACCTCTATAAATTTTAGTTGAATACTCCTGATCTATACGGACGTAAAGTGGAGCTCCACAGGAAACACGTGACCTCTACCGGAAACTACCACTCTGTTAGCGAAAAGAGACAAGATAGAATCCAAGGAGATTTTGATATATTGAAGTTGCCTGTCAAACTGTCAGAATATCATAAGCAAGTCTTATATTATTGGAAGATGATTTTTGCCCATAACTTCACGCCTCATGGCTCCACCTTGTGGAATAACAGGACCATTACAATTAATAGGAAATCATTATTCATTAAAGAGTGGTATGAAAAAAACATTATCTTCGTAACAGATTTACTTGATGAGAAGGGGCAGTTTCTCAGAATAGGTGTTTTCAATGCCAAATTTAACATTCAGTGTTCCCTTAGAGAATATAACAAAGTTTGTAATGCGATACCTTTACCTCTGTTAAGTTTGATACAGGGTTATTTATATTACTCTAAGGGACAAATAAGTTTACCTTCTTTACAGCTAAATCAGATTCCTTTAACTAATAAAAAGTGTAATAATAAAATCATAAAAGTAATGTTTAAAAATAAATTATTTCACGATGTTAATAGTAACACAAAATTAAAAGGGAGAAATGTTAAAATAACGAACGAATATACACATTTTTTTAAATGGCCTATCCCCCCCAAGGTTAAAGAAATGCAATTTAAAATAATCAATGGTTATTACCCAGCAGCAGAAATGCTTAAAAAAAGATTTGGTTTTGAGGTGGAGCCATGTGGATTTTGTTTACGTGATGAAGAAAGCATTGAGCATTTGTTTTTTTCCTGTTCAGTAACAACTAAATTCTGGCAGGATCTGGTAAACTGGATGAGTGTAGGAATAGATGGGATGACCCCACTGACCCTAACACAGGTTTTATACAATAATGATATTCTGTCTAAGGAACTTGCCATGCTTTACAATGTGGTAATAATTATGGGCAAATACCACATCCATAAGTGTAAATGGCAAAACAAAAGACCTTCCCTAAGTGGGTTGAAGATTGAACTAAAGTCTTTTCTTTCATCCTTAGAATTACTGAAGGAGTCATGTAATGCTGCAGTATTGATATGTGAGAATGTAACCCAGTTTCTATCCCTTAAATGATTGTGTTTCATTTGGTGTACCAAGTAAGCCGCATGTATATTAACGTGTTGTCAGAAAGGGAAATGTTAGATGTCAAAGAATGGCCTTCACATTTCTATATTGTTTTATTTTTTTTATGTATTTATTTTTCCTTTTCCCTATTTTTCCAATTATTTTTTTTTTCTCATGATGTTGTTGCACTAATGTTATCTCCTGATGAGAGTTTGTAAATGTGTGCAAAGACTTAAATAAAAAAAAAATAAATAAAAAAAAAAGATAGAATCCAAGGAGACATTCCTC